CTCCATTTGGCGCGAAAATATGCTCAGATATTTGTCCGCAGACATCATCTGTTCCGAGAAGCGAACATTTTAAATCTCAGTGTGAACTTTGAACAACAGATAATCTACAAGGACAAATATCCGAGAATATTTCGCACCGAATTGAGGCTATTGTGTTTATTATCCTTCAAATGTTTTTCGAACACGCGCAGCCTTAAAATTGGGGAATGTCACTCGGATATTCCTTGGCTGGGGAATATTGAGCCATGTGAGCTGTTTGGACCAACCGCTCGCTAGCGAAAATTGTATTTATTTTTATACCATGCCATAGAAAATACAGCCAATAAGAATACAGGAAAGCCCTTGTATACTTGACGGTATTTTACCCAACCTTCCTATTAAACGTGTGCTGCATTGTGTTGGCCACTGTATTTTCTATGACATGTTATAAAATGACTGAGATACTGTCATTGGTCGATAGGTCTGTTTAGATGAGAGTATGTAAACACGGTTGCGACGTTTAGATTCGCACGTATTTTTGAGAAGTTTTGTAAAAGCAATACAGTTCTATTCCGTATTTACATAGCATTATCTTAACACTTCAATGGAGGGTTGGAAGAAGTTTTGCTGGGCTTGCGTTTGTGTTGTTGCCTGCGCCACTTGCGTTCGAAGAAGATTGTCTCGCTGAAGCAATCTCTTCAAATTGCTACCAGTAACCGGAGCCAGGGTACGAGTCATAAGAATTTGAATAAAAACGCCGCTCATTTTCCTCGTTTGCACTGAAATAACTGTAAAAAGCGTCAGTTGGACCGGAGAAAAAATGATTTTGTCCCGCCAGCGCACGCGCCAAACTGGACTACCGTCGAAGTTATTTTCTCGCCGTAATTTTATCCAGACATGTTTTAAAAAATATGACAGTTAAATGGTTAAAAATACAAAATTGTTTGCTTTTCCAAAATTTGGAAGCCTCCGAGGCAGCACTTCGGCTTCTTTGAAGATTGGCGAAATTTTGGCAATCCGGAAAAATTTGGCAAGTTTTTGAAACTGGGGGTCGCACTTATTTTAC